GTACAAGATACGTGCTATCAAACGACGGCAGAGTTACTTTTTCCAATTAGTCATTTCGATATTGTTTTAGATTCAAGTCAAACCGAAGAACGGTTTACATCGAGGGGATGTTAAATTACGAACTGTATAAGGCTGGTGTGGCCCTGGACCTATAAAACCGCTTTTACAGCATCAGCAGGGTAGTACCTGATTTGCATAATTAGAGAGTTAAAGAAAAACGCATAGGCTACGTCGCTAAACAAGTTTTAACTGCTGAGCACTAAAATGGCTGTGCACGCGCGTTGTATTTTTTGGCACATTTCTTTACCATCCATGTTTGCAAGACAACAATGTGAAATGGCCATGCTCTGTGTTGTCTGGAGAACACGAATCACGAGATTTATATTTCGAATTTGAGGCTGTGTTCCATATTGGTTTTCGAGATGCTTTAAAAAAAAGGAAAGAAACGAACAAAATGACTTCAGGGTATAACTAGATTCGTATCTAAGGTTTTATTGTAATCGGCGTCATCCTCAGCGTCCTTGTCTTCATTTCTAAATCCCCAATTATGAGTTTACTGTGGAACAAGGTTATTTGAGGAAGCAAGGTCTTATAATGGATACAGTCGAACCACTAATAAGCAGCCGTCTGCCACCACTTATCAAGCGCTCAGTTATCAAATTTCCGAGGTTGCTGTCAGACTGAAAATACTGTATATAGAACCGGTATTATCTAGCCACCTCGCTCTATTAAGTGGCCGCGGCCACCTTTTGGTCGTCTTGATGAGAGAGTGTTCTATGTGTTGTCCTTTCCCCTTTTTAGCGGCCACCCAAAATTTAATACACATAGGCTGGCTTTCTTTTGGAAAAGACGATCGACGGCAGATAGGAGTCCGAAACAGCATTTGATGACTGATAAAAGCATGCATTCAAACACACGTTATGTGTATCATGATTGTCTTGACGTAGTTCTATGTTCACCTTGCAATTAACCCAATTTAAAAAAAGTATTCAAAGTACACGAACTGTTATAAAGCAGGCAGCCCCCGTTAAGCGACCACCTCCCAATTCCCCGAAGGTGGCCGCTTAGCAGTA